GTCTGTAGTGACCCTAGGACTTGTTGCCAGCAGAACCCGGTCCTTCAGGGTCTGTAGTGACCCTAGGACTTGTTGCCAGCAGAACCTGGTCCTTCAGGGTCTGTAGTGACCCTAGGACTTGTTGCCAGCAGAACCCGGTCCTTCAGGGTCTGTAGTGACCCTAGGACTTGTTGCCAGCAGAACCTGGTCCTTCAGGGTCTGTAGTGACCCTAGGACTTGTTGCCAGCAGAACCCGGTCCTTCAGGGTCTGTAGTGACCCTAGGACTTGTTGCCAGCAGAACCTGGTCCTTCAGGGTCTGTAGTGACCCTAGGACTTGTTGTCAGCAGAACCCGGTCCTTCAGGGTCTGTAGTGACCCTAGGACTTGTTGTCAGCAGAACCTGGTCCTTCATGGTCTGTAGTGACCCTAGGACTTGTTGTCAGCAGAACCTGGTCCTTCAGGGTCTGTAGTGACCCTAGGACTTGTTGTCAGCAGATCAGGGTCTGTAGTGACCCTAGGACTTGTTGCCAGCAGAACCCGGTCCTTCAACCATCTGAGTCTGAAGCAGAGCGTGGGACCTCTCGCAGACATTCCTTCGTCTCGTCTGAGAAACGTTCTGTTCCCTTACAGCTGCTGACAGCTCAACATCTCTCACTTTCTACCTTCCCTCCATCTTTCTCTGTCTATTAGCGTTGACAGCCGCCCGCACACCGCTCCCAGCTGCTTCGTTCATACTCCCAGTCCTCCCCAACAGAAACCAGCACTTTTGTTCTCCCTTAAATTTTCTTTCTATAGATCGACCGTCACCGTTGCACTCCTCCTCAGAAAGTCTGCGGAGGAGAAACAGCCCGTCACTGCAGGGGAACGAAGGAGGAGCTGGTTATGATCAGTAAACGAGAGCTGAGTGAAGAACACGTTCCAGCTGATGACACCTGAAGAACACCTGACTGGAAACTGAACGCTTCATCTTCGTCCACGCTGGTTTTCAATCAACCAGATGTTTCCAATGAAACAGACTAAACTTTACTCAGAACTAAATGAATGAAGCGATGGGATCAAGATGATTTTTTTTGTCCTTTAGTATTAAACTTAACACAGTTTCAGTCTCTGAAGGGCAAAGGTCAAAGGTCATGACCTCTCTAAAAACACCCTGGCAGCACAGGTCAGGTTTGCAAAGATTGAAATTGACTGACAGCTGTTGATCGGGTCTAGTTGATGATTTATGGACATGAAACACGACTGATACGAGAAACGAGCAGTAAGAGAACGATTACAGGTGAAACACAGAAATCCAACCCCCGTCTTTTGAGGAGATTTATTACAAGGGTCCCCCCCCCCAACAATTTAAACCGTGTCTAATCTTCTTAAATGCTAATTCATGTGTAGTACTTTATATCCCTTTCAGTTTAGTTCTGATGGATTCACTTCATTAATATGTAAAACACATCTGTTATACATATATAATGTCCTACAACAGCATTAATAATAAATAATTCATCGAGCGGCCTGTTTCTAATCAGTCTGTCCCCCCACCCTGCACTCACCCCCCCTCCATAAACTCACCCCCCAGTGTCTGCCTTCACTCTTCCTCAGAAATCTGCTGCACAGGAAAAATAATTGTCTTTTTCTTGAGCTCAAGCTCTGGAACAGGACAAGAGGAGCTTGAGAGCAATTCACCGAGCTGCTCCTCATCCAGCTGCAGTTCAAGTTCAGCTCGGCACCTTTGAGCAAGGCAGGGTGGGGGTGGGGTCCATGCATTTCCTTTTCCCGCTTCTCCTTCATGGATGGTGGCAAGCTGCTGTTTTATCTCCCATGTCTTTGGTCTGTGGGAGGAAACTCCACATAGAAAGTCTGGAGGGCGAACCTGCAACCTACTGGCTGAGAGGCAGCAGCTAACCACTACACCACCGTGCTGCCATGTTCTTAGCACTTATCTGTGATTTTAAGAGAGAGCTCTGCCCTGATGGGAGTCCAAATGAGAGGTGAACCGTCAACCAGAGGCAGGTTTTCAGGTTTCACTGAAATAATCTGATTTAATGAAAAGTGCAGTGTGAACGTTTCTGTTCAGTGCCCTGAGACGACTTCTGCTGTGACTCCGTGTTGTGTGAATAAACTGAACGCTGAGCACAGACTGACTGAACATTAAACCAGGTTAATAACGTTAGAACAAAGAGATGAAACGCCAAAATAATAAAAGCTAAAATGAACACATGGAAGCTAAAAGGAGCTAAACTTGAGCTAAAACCTGAAGTTTGGAAAACAGCAGCTAAAAGCAGAGCCAGTAGCTGCAGCAGATTTTAAATGCTTTTAGAATTCACGGGTCAAAAATGACCCACAAGACATTGTACCCTAGTGGTGTACAGCCCACACGGAAACATAAAGACAAAGTATCACTTTTTCTAATGTTGGGTCCTTTAGGAAAAGTCATAAAATTTCAAGTTGAAAAAAGACAGTTTAAGGTATTTTTCTACAGCTAAACATTGTAGTGGGTCACTTTTGACCTGAAAGACAACAAGGGTTAAAGAGAATAATAATTATGAAGGAATTTAAAAGATTTAAATGTATTTATAAGGGGCAAATGTTCCTAAATAAAGTTACAACAAAAAGATTAA